AAGAAGTAAATAAGTACATATTATCCATGATCCTTGGAGAGGAAGTTGTATACTTGAGTTTTGATAGTGTTGTAAAAGATGATAGGGACATGAATCTGTAATACCCAGGAATTTTAAGTAAAATTTAAAATATATAATAATTAATTTTAATTGTATTTGTATTAATGTTGGAAATATTTAGACAAGAACGATTGTTGACCTAGTGGTAGTTGTGCTGTCAATTAACTCTTCAGGTCCCTAGTTCGAATCTGTCTTATGCAAAAGAGAAGTTTTATTTAATTTTGCTCTAGTGTTTAGGTGAAATTACAAGTTTACCCCTCGATAATTAAAAAAAATAGAGAGACAAAGATAAAAGCACGTCGGTTTCTTCCATTTTCATTTTTTTCATTTTCTTTGAAAGCTCCAGAATGAGCTAGCATGCCCTCAGCTCCTCTGATTTACCTCCTTTATTCCCCCACTGGTTGACGTCGGCTATTATGAACGAGAAGCCTTCCTTTCCTTCCTCTGTTTTTTTGCTACTTGAGAATGCTGGAGTTCTTCATTATCTCCCCTGTTTCGCATCACGAATTGATCAACTTGCCAGATCATCACTGTTGATAGGTGCGACAGCTCCGTCAGCTGCTGATGCAAAGTTCCACAGTGAGCTTTTCTTTCTCTAGTCCTCATGGTTAGCTGTTTTTGTGTGCCACTGTTCATTTTTTTCCTCCTCCTTTCATGCTTCCCGTCTCTAATTTGGTTTAGGGGAGTCTAAAATTTTCTCGTTGTTTATGGCGTCCCAAATTTAAGTGGCTATAGGAGGTCTGTTTTGATGGCTGTCATTTTTCTCCCTATATCTGCCTTTGTCCCTTCCTCCCTGTGCCTGCCAGTGTGAACAGAGGTAAAGAGATTTTGAGTCTACTTTTCTCTTATCATTTCTCTATGTGTGCGTGTGTGTATCTTAGGACTGAAGTGATGGAGCTTTAATTTTTCTGCTATTGTCAATTTTTGAATAAGGGTGAGAAGTTGATTCAAGATGAAATTTTAATGTTGGAGGATATGGGATTTGGGAGGTTGTTTGATTTAAATGTTTATATTGAAAATCTTTAGGAAATGAAATCAAAGAGTAAGAAGTTTGGTTTGGGCTTAAGAATTAGTTTATAGAAGGTGTTTGACATAATGATGAGAAAACTTTACTTGGGTTGTATATTTTTTTAAATTTCATTGATCATTGCAATTAGTATGTTTATTTTGAATGCTATTACTCTATAAACTTACAATGAAGATTGTAAAGGAAATTTGAGCATGACATTTGTTTAGGCAATTTTGAAATCATGGAAATAAATGATTGTTGATGAACTATGTGATAAGAGATGTGAATGTTAAATAAAATAATAATAATAAAAAGGAAAAGAAGCCTTATTGTGGAATATTAGAAGTAATGTAGTTTTGGAATTCTGACAAAAAGTTTATTAGGAGATTGTATTTTAGTGGAATGCTGAGTTGTGGTCGAATATGATTTTTTTTAAAATTTCATTAACTCTTATGGGTACATACTTAGTTTGGGTATTAATTGTTCATGAATTTAACTTGAATGGTATGAAGAATTTTGAGTATGAAACTGTGTTAAGACAAGTTGCATTCTATGAAATTGTATGGATGATATTATAAATGATAATGTTTAAAAATTTGATTTGGGAATGCCTTTGAATTGCTTGATAGAAAGGGTGACAGGAGAACTTAGAATTTAGAGTGACTAATTATGCTATGTGTATATATAATATTAATTAAGTTTTGTTGCTTGCACTTGACAAGAGTTGGAAAGAGTTTATCAAACTTGATTATGCCATTAAAGTTTCTTTTTATATTAGATAGGGCATTTAGTGGAAGGAAGGTTTGATTGGGTTCTAAGAAGTCAATTTAGTACTCAAGCACACTTTAGGTAAGTGGTAGCGTCCAAACTGATTTTTTTAATCAAAATTTTATTTACTAAAATATTATATTTTTTTGGAAATTATTTTTATAGCATTAATGCGATTATTGAATATTTGTTGATTAACATTACTTTATTTTGAGAAATTAGCTTTACTAAATTTAAAATGCTATTTGATCAATTAAATTAAGTTTGAACTTTGATTGTAAAATTTTTATTATCAAATATTGGATAGATACATAGAATGATTCATGCGAGTTCAAAGTTGAAATTTTTTTATTCAATAAATGCAATCATGAGCTTTGGATATGAAATTTGATTCTGGCAAGTTTTAAAGCTTAAAAGCATTCATGCGAGTTTGATTTTGAGAATGAGAACTGTATCTTGAAAGTGACGATTTTCTTATATGTTTAAAAATGGTTTTAAAAAGGGACTTTATATAGAACACTAGTTGCTAACGACAGTTCCGTTAGCCTTTAATGCACTATGGTACACCTAGCTAGTAGGGTATTTATAGGAGGTGCTAGCGCCGTGCGATGGCCAACGCACGTGGAACGGAGGGATAGTTATTCGTGGACTTTATACCTGCGTTTGATTTCGTGGCTTCAAGCCGCGTTTGGTTAGCATTAACTTCGTGGACTGTGTGTCCACGTTTGTTTCGTGGCTTCAACTGTGTTTAGTTACATATCCTCGTGGACTGTGTGTCTACGTTTGTAAATTGTTCTGATAAGTCCCTATAATTATGAATGCAACCATTTGATGATTTCATATTCTATTGGTTTTTATTTAATAATTTGTTTATAAATTTTTATTTCATTTATGTGCTTTCTTGAAATCAAGTGAAATTATCATTTGCTATGACAGTTCAATAATTTGAGATTTTATTTAAAATTTTATAGAGCCATTTTATTATGAAGTTTATTAAATTTTTATGAAATTATTGTCTCTTTAACTTACATAACTATTTCAAACTTTTCATTTTATTTATTATTGGGGCGTTATTCACTAAAAAATTATTTTGGTCTCAGATAGCATAATTGACGCTGTATGTCTTGCTTACCAAGGATGGGTGTTTGTGGAACAGAATGGAGGCTTATTTTGTAAATATGTCTTATGGATGTAAAGGTAAAATTTATGTATTATGTCATGAGATATATGATTAGGTGCTCCACATAACTTATAATTAGAGTCCTTAGTTTATCATACATTTTGTGATATAATGCTGAAATAATGTTTAAGGAAAATTTTTGTGATACAAAATTTTAGAGAGATTTTATTTACAAAAGAGGTTCTGTCAAAATTTTTACAAAATGTTGAAACAATTATTATAATGAGTAGTATTGATAGTAGTAAAATGTCAGTGTAAAATTGAGTACATTTTAATTAAATGAAATAAATCTTGAATTTGTGGCTTACGAGATGTATGATGTGATTCACATCCTGTGCCGGTTATCCCTATTTTTGGGGCGTGACAGAATCACTCGATGACTTGCACTTTATAAATTTTTTAAATTCAATTATAATATCAGGACTCCCGAATCATGAAATAAGATTGAGAGTTGGTGCCCCAATTATTTTGATGGGAAACATTGAAAAGTCTATGGGGTTGTGTAATAGTACACGTCTCATAGTTACGAGAATTAGAAAACATGTTATTGAAGCCCAAGAAATGTCTAAGTCAACTATAAAAATGAATGTATGTATGTCTCTATGTGTTCATCTGATTCTAGGTTTCTATTTACTATGAAAAGGAGGCAGTTTTTTATTATGATGGCTTTTGCAATGACCATTAATAAAAGCTAAGGCTAGAGCCTGTGTAATGTTAGTTTGTACTTGCCTCGTCCTATTTCATGCACGGCCAGTTATATGTTGCTGTTTCTCGTGTTCGAAGTAAGAAAGGTTTAAAAATATTGGTTCTTGATGAGGATGATCAATCCACAAACAAAACTTCTAATGCTGTTTATAGGAAAGTTTTCGATACTTTGGTCGAATTAATTATAAATTTTTATTAATATGCTTATTGTATCCATTCACATTGTATTCATTTAGTTTTTACATTGACTGAATATGCTAATATGCATATTTAACATTAAAAATGATAATTACATAGGCCCACTACATTTATGATGATATGGAGTATTAGAGATGATATGCTACAAGTTATTCTTTTGAGAAAAATCTTTCTATAAGATTGACACTTATTTATAAAAACTTTAATTCATCATAACTGATAGATATGTCACTTATTAAAAAAATTATTATATATAGGCCGTGCATTACATAGGTACTTTACTAGTTGGATCTAAAGTTGATAGAGTAATTTGTTCATTTAGCCAATTTTAAACAATATAACCATCCTTTTATAAAAACAAAAATAAAAACTATTGAATTTGAGTTGAGATGTCCTAAAATTGGGACGGTAGAATAAATTTTAACATTTTAAATTGCGGAATAATATTTGATTAAGTAAATCATATAATTAAATACGAAATAAAACAATACTTTCATGTTATTTTTCATTGAAACTTTTGGCAAGAAGAATTTTAAAAAATATTTTTTAATATTTAAAACTCAAAGTCAGGGTAATTCCATTCCAATTATATAGCACTAAAATTGTAAAACATCCATTGTCATCAATGTGAAGGACATATAACTCTGGCATTGCAAGAATGGAAAATTCAATTGATCGTGGTCATCATCGTTTGTTTGTTTGTTTTTTTTTTTTTTTGTCTTTTTTTTTTTTTGCCACCACCATCACATAACTTTGGCATTTTAACAAGGCTAGCTAGCTGTTCGCAATTTCGTGCAAGGGACTAAGATCTCGGTTAAATATTGTCTTGTATTGAACATTAAATATTTACGATCTTGGTTAAATATTTAATCGTGCAAGGGCCCAGCGCTGAGAATAAACATGGGATATTTGAAGACCTAATTTTAGTTTGCTTTTTTTCACCTCATTCTAACACATAAAATTACTGAAAACCTACTATTGGGGCGCATGAGGAGCAAGAAGAACAAAAGCCATAAGCAATTTAAATTCAAGTGAAGAAAAAGCGATTATTATTATTATTATTATTATTAGAAAGAATAGTACTAAATTTTGAACTATGCTACAACATGAAGGGCATGCCCCCAGTCATAGAAATATCTGATGACAACTTGAAATTAAAATTGCAAGGAATCAGTTCTGGTTAAAATTGAAGTATCCGTGCTCAAGAGCATCTTCAGCCGAAATTCTTTCTCTTGGATCCAGGCAAAGCATTTTCTGTCTCTCACAATAAAATTAGCCGTTAGTCATGAAAAGCACAGAACAATTACGTCATGTGCATTGATGTTCTTGCACGTTCTCACTTTAATTTCATGTAATATTTATACTTCTTCGCTCTTATTAAATGCGAACAATTAACTTAGATCACAGAAGAAATTGGATGAACTTACGGAAAGAAGATCAATGCCCGCTGGTTCCAAACCAGGGAAATTTTCTGCCAGGTTCTACACAAACAAGAAATGCAAGTTTAAAACCCAAGCTTTGGAGGGTTCTACAACACAAGATCTAGTCAATAAATAAACCATGCTTACCTGTGGTTGATATTTGGGAAAGCATGAAATTGTTCTACACTTCCTGCTCACTCCTGGCCAGGATTCCTCAGTTGGCGTGCCTAACAAACTTCATATTGAAATTCCATTGTTATATTTTCATGGCATTATTCAAGATCACATTTGGCACACAAACAATTAATATGTGTTTTTGAGGCGCAAAAGTTACCGAAAAATTGACACCAATTGTTCCCTTGTAGTTGTGCCCTGGAATACAGGTTTCCCAATTACCAGCTCTCCAAATATACAGCCGACAGACCACATATCAGCTGCCTTTGAATGTTGACGAGTTCTAAACAGGAGTTCAGGAGCACTGTATTGGGAGGGTTTTATCTGTTAAGAGGACATTAATTTTATATATTGGTTAGATATAACTTTCAAAATGATTACTTCTAAATTTTACACGGAAACCATGACAATTTTATACTCAAATGACAATTATTGTACTCAAATACAATATTGAGTCTCGACCATGCATGCATATGATGCAATAATTAAGAAAATTGAGGAGTTATGTTATATATCATACAGGATAAGATGCCCAGGGATCTCCATATGCGCCGGCGAAACCGAAGTCAGCTAGCTTGATTAAACGAGCAGTGAAATTAATTTGTATGTACTTTGGTTTTATATCCCCGAGGATAATGTCATAAGAATGACAATGTTTTACGGCAGAGAGTATCTGCTGAAGAATCAACTGCTTGGACAAACAAAAGAAAGTGAACCATCAGTCACAAAATTAACGTGCTCATTATTAATACGTAGAAGATCAAAATAATTATTACGAGAAAAGAAGAAGAGGCGGAAGGAGGCTAATTCATTTCACAAACTTTCACAATTTCGCATGCACGATCCTGAATACATGAATAAATGCTTTTTTTTTTTAAAAAAAAAAAGATGATAACGAAGAACGTGAGAAAGAAAGGCAGAAGATTATATTATGACTTCTTGCAAAACAGAATATCTCCAGATATTAATGATTTTACCTATAACATCTCAGAAAGATTACTTACTCTTGTCTGCGGATCTCTCTGGATCTTTGGAAACGAAATGAAATTGGAAAGATCAACGGAAAAATACTCATAAACAATATACATGTAATTCCCCCTCCTGAATGAACGCAGCTCCCTGATACACAAAATTAAACAACGTACGTATATTATTCGTCACTAAATACTTAAACACAATTTTTCTCAGACTTCAACTCGACATTCGAACGGTGATAGATTAAGATTCAAATACTCGTACAGAAATAATCAGCAAATAAAGTTCCGAAAGCAAGAAATGTTCATATGACTGATTACTGAGTGAAGAGTCTAAGACCAACCTTATAATGTTTGGATGACCGTGGAATCGAAAAAAACTCGTTTTAGCACTTATCGATGTCTGAACAGCTGTATTATATCCGTCAGGCATGAAAATCTCCTTGATGAATACCATCGATTGATCGACATCAGCTTTAACACAACGGTAAACCTTGTTCAACGTACAGTCTGTAACCGGGCCAATAACATTGTAGTTTAATTCCTCTAAATTGGGTACCGATCCAATCCAGGGATTCCACATTCCCCATTCGGAACAGCACATAACCCTGTCTTGTGTACAAAAACTAACATCAGAAAATTCAAATTACATGCAAAGATTACTAAAAGAGTTAAAAAGATACGCGCTATCGACAATTATACTGATATTGAAAGTACTGTTTTAACATTTTCTTCCGCAAGATTTTTCAGAAAATACGTGCATACCCTAGACAAAGGATCTAAATCACAATATCCAAATTCTTGATTCAAAATATTCAACAACTTCTGGATCGGATTTTTATTAAACGTGAAGATATACTTACACAGATTCGCAGAAACTTATGATAGTTTGAACGAATTCACACATTTTGAAATGAGAGTGGAGAGAGAACCAAGATGCTTTAGAGAGAGATTCAGGATTACGAAGATAATTAGAGAGATTCGACTAAATGGGTTGGGAAGAACTTGCTTATATACACAGTAAGATAAGAAGGTTAGAGTGAGCGAGGGGATGCTATTCAGAAAGAACGCTTAAAGGATGATAAAACAGTATTTCCCGCCAAAATAACTAATTCTATGGCTATTGTCATCAATTTTTAATTGTATATAGTCTTGGCTCTAGTTAATAAATTAATAAAATAATGTAATTCTTTAATTTAAATATCAAAAAATTAATTATCAAATTATAATACGCTTCTTTTTTGCCCAGAAATTATAGTACGCTATTCTATAATAATTCAATTATAATATGCTTCCATGAACCAAATTAATTAATTGCAATAGGGGTTAACTTAAAATTCAGTGATCAAATTAATGTCATTAAAATCTTTTATACTATTAATGCGTATTGCTTTGGACATCACCTAAAATTCACTCAAAAGATCCAGAGATGTTACTTTTAGGAATCAGAGTTGGAGAAATTCACTTAACCATAACTAATGATGGATTTCTAAATACTATAATTAATTTAAAGATTCCGCGTATTTATAAAATGGCCTTCACTAATCACTAATCTTCTGTATATCGCATGAGGTTTGAACCATTTGAATTTTTATCATGAAAGATTTATTTTGGTGCAGTTGAAATTCTAACCATCCCGTACGACACATCGCATCGGCTGTTATTAGTTTATTTGGAATAATAACAACACTAAATTTAAAAGTGAAGGAAGCAAATTTAAAACAAAAATTCTCTTATGTACATGTACGTACGCTGTTGCCCTTTTCTTTTTCATAATTCTTCAAGGAGAAAAAGAAAAGATTTATCTATGTTTTTGTAGCTAAAATTTTAAAACATGTATGGTTTAAGTTCAGTTGATAGTTTTAATCAACTCAATTATAGCGTTTTGGAATAATCTATATATAAGACATAATTACTATGAAGGTAAGAGTTTATTAGAAACATGTGAAGGTACACAAGATAAAATTTAGGCAGTACTCCATCTATTTCGAAAAAGATGAATTAGAAACCTTAATTATTTCAAAATATATATATATAATTTTAAAAATAGCCCCACACTGAACAATGAAGGTTATTTTTTTTAACCATATTATATATTATAGATGCTATATAAATATATAAGTAGTGAAATTACAATGGGGTTTTACTACAGCTTTGAAACTCTCCTCCCACCCCACGTTGCACGAACACGCAATTATATGATGCATTTTGTAAGGGGGGTAGCGCAGAGAAGGACAATCCGAAGTTCAGAGTTCAATCCATCGGGAAGATTGATGAGCACTTGACTTCCATAAGTAACGGTGATTGAGTTCCAAGCTTGTGAGATCTGGAAAAAAAAAAAACCTTGAATTTGATTTAATGAAGATAATTGTTCAGTTTTAATCAGTTAGCTTATCAAACATGCGAATTCTTATCCCTGATTTTCTCTCTGATATATGAATTGATTAATTTTTGCCAATCTAGAGTAAAACTTTTTGCCTTTTTCTTGTTTTTTACACCTTTTTAAGAAGTAAAGGACTTTCAGTATCTATTCTCATTCTCAAGTCAAGTTTTCATCATCCATTCAAAAAAGTACACATTTCAAATATTAATTATTTAACTAAAATAATTGATTAATTTGATTTATTGGCTGACAATTAATCACCCAGCAGCCTAATCAATTAATTCTGATCACTCACATGCATGCAGTTAGTTGTTAATAAGATGACTAATATAGAACTTTTCGTTTTTTTTTTTAGACATTATTTTTCCGGCAAACTGAAGTATAAAAAGATGCAGACTTAATATAAAGAGAGAACGAAGAAGTCAGAATTAATTGGATTCAGATTTTTTGATCTAGCACAAAAATAAGAGATATTTGAAGGGCAAGGTTTAACTTGAAGATCCCAATTAATTGGATTCAGATTTTTTGATCTAGCACAAAAATAAGAGATATTTGAAGGGCAAGGTTTAACTTGAAGATCCCCACTTTAGACCATACATCGCTTCAAAATCAACATGTAAACCACAAAACACAAAATTAAAATATTTCTATATCTCTAGTATAACTATCTATAGAACTATGCTAATATTGGCATAATAACAAAAGAGTATAATGGGAACTTCATCTTCTAAGCTTTCTTTTTCTTCTGCTGCATATTGATCCATGTATGTGTGACGATTTGTCGACAGAAATGATTAATCTGTGGAGTACCCAAGTTCGATTTTCTTTGTACCACTAGGTCCAGCAACGTCTCGGATCGGTTTTCTCTTGTCCCCAAGTTCGATTTTCTTCGTACCTCTAGGTTCAGCAACGTCTTGGATCCGTTTTCTCTTGCTCATCAGTGTTTTACTTTGAATAACAATCAATTAATGAAAAATAAAATTGAATCAGCTGTTTAATAGATATACACCGAACTTAAATTAATATATGTAAAAAGAAGTGAGTATGTGTATACCACAAATCATTATTGAAGAATGCGTGGTCAAGAGCTGCTTCAGCTGAAATTCTTTTTTTTGGATCCAGACAAAGCAACTTCTGTATCACTCACAATAAATTTAGTACAAGAGTTAGCAAGAATCCATATGTCAACATAAACAATACCAGTCATTTAATTTACAAACTCTACTGATAGTCGTGATAACATGCGCGCGCGCGCGCGCACATATATATATTTAGTATTACTTTTCAATGAAGTGGGGCAAACTAAACTTGATTACCGAAAGAATATCAACGCCTTCTGGTTCCAAATCAGGAAACTTTGAAGACAAGTTCTGCACAAAATAACAGGTGCATATGGTTAAAACTCGTAGCTTCATTCCCCGCAAGATTCTACAGCCACACATCCAGTAAAAACAAACTGTCTTTTAACAGTCAATGGAAAGATACCAGCGGTTCGAACTTGGGGTAGAAGGCAAGTGTAGGGCACAGGTCACTAATTCCCGGCCAAGATTCCTCAGTTGGAGTTCCTAACAAACTTCATAATAATGAAAGTCGCTTGTCATTATATCAAGCACATCACAAACATGATGTTTCTGGAGTAGAGAATTTACCCGAAAATGCCCCTTAGCTGATCCTGATTGCTTTTACCAATATGAAATAGAGGCTTCTTGATTACTATCTCTCCAAAAATACAACCCACGGCCCACAGATCAGATGGCCGTGAATGTTCATTGTTATCAAGCAAGACCTCAGGCGCAGTATACAAGGACACTGGTATCTGTAAATAAGTACCATAAAGCCCTGAGTGATTCTATACTTTTCCATATATATATATGAGTGCAAATCGAGGGATAAGTGGTATATATTATCATACATCACAAGGTTCAGGATCTCCGAATGAACTGTACAAACCGAAATCACATAGCTTGAGGAAACCATCACGAAAATCCATGAGTAGATTTTGTGGTTTCAGATCTCGGAGGAGAATCCCGTTAGAATGATAGTGTGCTACAGCCGCAAGCATCTGATACAACATATACTGCATGCGAGGACAAGGGTAAATTAAATAAGCAACCTTTCCTCAAGAAGTAAGCTATATAAAGCGTAAGCTGGACAAGGATATTCAACAGAAAGATTAACTTACATTTCTTTGTTTTGGATATCTAAGGTCTTCTGATAGGTTAATGAAATAGTACAGATTAGGGGTGATATACTCAAAAACGAGATAGAGGTAACATCCCCTTTTCAATGTATACAGCAACCTGATACAAAAACATATGTAACTGCATAAGCAATATCATTCTCTCAAGTTTGAGTGTTTTCGTTCAAATCCAACGTAAATTTGCATATGACCCTCCAATTAGATGAAATTACTCGAAACAGTAACTGTTTAGACAAAATATGCAATAATCAGCAAGGTTTCATAAACCCCAGATGACCAAATTTTCCAGAAAACAAGAAACCTTCCCTCCATGACTGATTACTATATTTGCAATAATATAACTGAACGATGATGGGCACGGAATCAACCTGACCACGTTGTTATGCGGCTGATCTTTAAGAAACTCGATTCTTTCATTTATCATTTCTGTTTCACTACCGTCACCAGCGTAAACCTCCTTAACTGCCACAACTCGATTACTGTTTACATCGTGACACCGGTAAACCTTCCTGAACGGACCGAATCCTACTGGTTCAATGACCCTGATGTTGAACTGATCTAAATTCAGATCTGCTTTAGAACTTCTCCAACGACGATACCAAACTCTGCATTCTAAACAGCCCACGAACCTGAAGAGTGTAAAACTAATAATATCAGAAAAATTCAAATTGAAAAGATAATTAAAAGAATGAAAAAGATAACAATGATTGATCGAGAATACTGCTCATTCATCTGCATGGAATCTTGGAACTCAAAAAGAGCGATAGATAACAATTGATTGATCGGAATCGAAACATTTTCAACTGATTCAAATTGAAACATTTTCTTGGCAAATATAAGAGCCCTAAGCAGAGACCGGGATCCAAATTCCAGAAACACTTACAGAGATTTGAATACATTGGTCTGTTCAAGGATACCGCTCATTTTTGTGAGAATCAGAACCGAGAAGAGATCAGTGAGGAGAGAATATAGAGCACTGGAAGGAAAAGAGTGAAGAGAGCGAATGCGATTCTTGAAAGTGATCGTTGGAAGCTTATAAAACAGCATTTCCCGGCAGAAACGGATAGAAGTAACTGCTTCACGTTGGTTCATTCCTTCGTTAATCCTTCCTTCGTTTTGGCGTCTCAAAACCATGAAGCCAACGAAAGTAGAAACATATTAAATATTTGTATTTATATTATCTATGCCAATTTTTTTTTTCTATGGTGAAAATTATCTGTTTCAATTTATTTTGCTCCATTTTTACACATGCCGCATCTCTCCGAATATTATAATATTACCCTTTTATTCAGATATATCATTTCATCCTTTAGTTTGTCAATAATATACAAACATTATGCAGTGTATAGAAAAATTTGTCTAGATAATATCAAAATGTT